ACTATTTCTATTTACGGCATTATCAGATATTAAATTAATTAATTAACTAAATCAATTTATATACGTAAAATCAACCAGTAATAAACTATTCATGGCCGGAACCACAATTATTTTCTTCAATTAAAAAGCTATAAATCGGAATAGATTCGGCTCACATAGAATTCGTATGCAGTTAATTAGAAAAGGACAGAAAACGTATTTGTCGCTAAAACACCATTGTACTACTATTTTAATATCGAACTGTTAGCCAGAAATTGGAGAGCAATATTTAAAATATAATTAAACCGTTAAATTTGATAATTCATGTATAATAACGAATTTATATGAAAATTTAGATATTCTGACGTCACAGAAATTCCAGGAATTCGGCGAACCTGCGAGTGTAAAAGGGCGAGCGAAACCCGTCTAAAATCAGAACAGTCTTCGAAGTCGAGCACGATACACGTCTCTTTGATAAGAATAATTAGGAACAGTTTTCGCTGTCAAGAGCCGCAACGAATCTTGGTCAAGCGGGTATATACCATTTGGACACTTGGTCATGGGTTGTTTCAGACATGAGCCCATTGCTCTCGGTAAAAATTTCTCCTTCCGCCCTCCTGTCGATTCCACTCATTGTAAGACATCAAACCAAGAGTTCTCAGCTACTCGTACTTAATTTTTTGTCGAATTACTAACTCGCCTTCAGATTCTCGGAGCTCGCTCTGCGTAGTAGCGTAGTTAACTAACGCAGGGCTCCCCATTTGAGCGGCTTGGTCTCTGAAGCCCGTGTTTTTTTGGTGGCCGTTCAGCAATCACGACTTTACGTTAGAATTAATTGATTTGCTACCCTGTCAGACTTATACTTTTCATCTGACTCTGGATCTTTGGGTTGTTTAGCAGCTAGCTAACGCAGGCTCCCCAATTAAGCGATCTGGTTTCGGGTGTCAGTGTGCGCTCTGACAAAAAGGGCCATGGACAATTAGTTGTCGAGTCAAATTATAAGAGTAATGGTTCCAAGAAGATTCATTAACTCTCAACAAATTTTAGAATTTGAATTAATAAAAGAATACTGTTCTGACTCTAGCGCAATTTCCGTAGTCGACTACACCGCGTTAGATAATAGATAAAATCTGTCTAATTTTGCGAATGCGTATTTAGGTACACTTAAAGAATCACACTTAGGTCGGATTCCTCGCTGCAGTAGACTATAAAGCGCTAATATTATTTAATTTCGTCAAAGAACATTTATGTAAATTACAACCGTACAAATCAAGCTGAATTTTGTCATTGCGATAGCTTCGAATACGAGAATCAAATATATATGTAGAATATCAAATTTAGTTAATTTTATAAAAGCGAAGTTAGTTTTATCAAAGATCAGACTTAGGTACAATCCAATATAAAGTATTAACTAGCGAATTTCATTTTGTTAATTACATAATTATCTATTACGTACTGTTTAATTTGTCGAGTTCTATTATTTCTATTATTATTATTATATCAAAATCTATTTAGTTTTTTGTTCTAATTAATCATTTATAATCTACCTACTTTTCTTTATTTTGTTGTTATTGTTATTTGTTAGCTTCATTTTTTTTATCGTTTATTGAAAAAGTGGGGGGTGAGAATCACGTTTTGTGGAATATCTCGGGAACCAGTAGAGCTAGAGGGATGGTTTAAATTGCAAAGTTGTGTATTTTTTAATGTGGAATCCAACTGTACAAATGGATTTTAAAAAATCGCATTTGTTTAAATAATATATTAAAAAATGACACTTTTCTATTAATTTTTCTATTTAAAAGTTGTTGTATCTTCTCGTAATTTTTTATGTGAAAAGTATACTAGTAAGTGTAAAATACGGATAAAATGGAATTTTTATTTTTACATTGTAAATATTGTTAACGAAGTTGTATTTTTATCGTACCTTTGCGGGATGCGGCCTCGAATGCATATAATTTGCATATAATCAAGTATGTAAAGAGCTTCTACATCTTTACTGGTAACTGTATTACAGTCAACTTGACAAATTTTTTTCAATTGGGATCAGAATTACCGTCTCAGATATAAGAGTTAGCCGGCGATGACCGCGAAGGTTTTTTCGCGCGGTCACAAGGCTTTTATAGAGGGTGCTATGGCTTTTATTGAGAGGGCTACTGCACCCAACTTTTTTCAAGTTTTTGGCAACTGAAACCAAGCTGTTTCACGTTTACGAATATATGGGAGCTCTGAAAAGAGTTGGTTTTAATATTAGCTCCTGCAATTTTTTAAAAGGTTGAACATCGTGAAAGTATTAGTTCATTCAATATATTGATTGCAATAATGATATTCCACTAGAAATGCTCCTGACACCACAAACATTTTATACAAATAACGCTACTACAACGATTACAAGTTATGCTTGATGTGTTGGTGAAACAAAATTCTACGAAGTTTTCAAATTTTCCTAGCCTCTCGTCAACATGTATAGCTGCATCGAAACCATGCATATTGGAACAATATTGTTTATCGAGGTGTTGATAATTGGTTGTGTGTGTGTGATTGAATTTTTATTATAGTATCACTGGCATTTAAATTTATATTGA